ATGTGTTTGTATAATTTTTAAAATAACATTTATATGGCTGCGCTCTCCTTTGCCTGATGGTATTTGAATAATAAAAAATGAGTTGAGTACAACTAAGTACAGTTTTTTCTATGTAACCTTAACATATGATGCATATAATATCATTTCTTCTTTCTCTTGTGTTCTCTATGTATTTTCGTTCCATGTGCATGTTCCCTTCAGATTATTGGAAGCAAGGAGAGTTTACTACTTATGAAGTAGGGAAATTTTAGAGAATGATGGACTACTTCCATTTGAAAGATTGAATATATAAATATGTTCTTTATTCAAATGTAGGAAATCCTTTGCAATAAGCCATGTAAACAAAGGAAATACGTGTTCCGGTTTGTGGGGGAAAATGTGATATTTTATGGAGGAAATTTAATTATAACTATTGATGAATTATAATAGCACTCACATTCCATACTGAAAATGGGCAAGTTTTTTTTGTTTTGTTTTGTTTTTGTTTTTTAGGATTCTTATTCATATTTTTGTTTGACTTTATAATATAACATTTAAAGTCAAATAAATAAATAAAAGAAACCTAAGCATTCTTTATTTTATTTTAAATTCCAGTGTAGTTAACATATAGTGTTATATTAGTTTCAAGCATACAGTAAATATAGTGATTCAACAATTCCATACATCACCCAGTGCTCATTACAACAAGTGCGCTCCTTAATCCCTATTCCATCTCACCCTTCCCCTCACCTACCTCCCCTCTGGTAACCATTAGTTAGTTCTCTATAATTAAGAGTGTTTCTTGGTTTGTCTCTCTCTCTCTCTTTTTTTTCCCTTTGCCCATTTGTTTTGTTTCTTAAATTCCGCATGTGAGTGGAATCATATGGTACTTATCTTTGACTGACTTATTTCACTTAGCTTTATACTCTCTACCTCTATCCATGTCATCAAATCATAAGCATTCTTATTAATGAATCAATTTGTGTGTTTTCATTTCAAATCAATAAATAGGCTTATCTACTATTTTTAAAGTATCACGTCAGGTGTGGTCAAATGAGAGTAATTCAATGTCATAATTTTAATGTAGCATAAATCCACTTGAAGAAAAGCTACTATTAACATGTGGAAGGTTAAATTCTCAAATAAATTAGACAATAGCTAAAGAAACCAACATTGGAAATGGCATAACATAGCGTGTAATCAATTTTCAGGTAAATGTGCAAAAATGTCAGTGCAAGTCAGAAGAGTAATATATCAGTGCTAGTTGGCCTCATCTGGGAAATCTTTATAAAAGATATGGGATATAACCTGTAGCTTGAAGGATTTGTAAGATTAAGGTAGGTGAAACTGGAGAAGTACAGTTCGTTCAAAATAAGTTGAATACTTGAAGCTAATGGACCACAGTGGAAAAGTACTGAAGAAAGAGAAGAAGATGATGATGATGAAGAAAACAAATCAATTTATTTTGAGTAGAAAATTCTTGTTGAGAAACTGGAAAAAAACATTTAAAAAGGCAGGTTGAGGCTTAGACATATTTAGTGGACAGAATAGAATGGACAGAAGTGAATGTTTTTTTCAAACAATTCTGAGGTTTTCATAGACCAATTTGTAAGTGATGTGAAGGATTGATTAGTGGATGGGAAAAACTGGAAGCACTGAATCCAACTGGGACCGTGGGTGGCAAACTTTGTACACAAGAGAATCTTTTTTTTTTTTTTTAATGAAATCTAACTATGATCTCCAACATATGAAACAGATCAAAATGGCATCATTTTGGAGCAATGTATTTTTTCAGGTCTGATTGGTACTTACATAGTTATTTGATGGGAATACAAGTTTAAACAATCGTATTTTCTAGTTTATAAGAATTGTTATCTATAACATATTAAAGTGTGCCTGTTTACACTACCGTATAAAGAACATTTTGGAAGAGATATTCCTATCAGAGTGTATGGGGCTGCTGAAACAAGCTCTTCAGTTCACAGCTCACCGAGGTAGATTATTCAGGTAGATTATTCCTCAACAAGAGAGGAAAATTGAACAGCCACAGGTGATGAGGTTTATTCCCTGTAAAAAGCCTCTCAGTGCCTATTCATCACTTAGAGTCCTTCTCAGGGCTGATGAGGCCCCGTGTGATCTGGCACATCCTCACCTCCCCTGCCTCAACTATGGCCAACTCTCTTTATTTGTTGGTTCTTACCAGTTATGAAACTATTTGAGTTCTTCAAATACTGTTATCTTTTCTCTTTCTCTGGGCCACCCTTTAGAATATCCCCTTTTCCTATAGTCAGCATAACTTTGCCCTACCCCAAACTAGTTTCAGCCTACCTTCTCCTTTTTCCTGTAGTACTTGGTATTGTTGATTATTTGCTTGGTATCAGTCGGCCCTACTGGATTTCCTGCTCTGTAAATAGATGCAGTTTCCTGACACATGGTTGTCAAATAAATGGATGGTCAACTCAAGGATTTTTTAAATAGACTTTATTTTTTGGATCAGTTTTTGGTTAACTACAAAACTGAACAAAAACTACAGAGATTTCCCATATACTCCCTGCCTCCACACATGCATAGCCTCTGCCACTGTCTACTTTCCCACTAAAGTGACAGATACACTGTTAAATTGATGAACCTACATTGATATATCAGTATTACCCAAAGTCCATGGTTTACATTAGGATTCACTCTTGGTGTTGTACATTCCATGTGCTTGGACCAATGTATAATGACATATATCTACCATTATAATGTCATATAGAGCAGTTTGTCATAAAAATCCTCCATATTCTGCTTACTCATCCCTCCCTTCCCTTAACTTCTGGCAACCACTGATCTTTTTATTGTCTCCATAGTCTTGCCTTTTCCAGAATGTCATATACTTGGAATTATGCAGTATGTAGACTTTTCAGATGGACTTCTTTCACTTAGTAATGTGCATTTAAGTTTCCACCAATTCTTTTCATGGCTTGATGTTTCATTTCTTTTTAGCGCTAAATAATATTCCGTTATCTGAAGAACCTTAGAATTTGGCCTCTCGGTGAATTTTGTCACAGTTTATTTATCCATTTACCCACTGAAGGACATCTTAATTGATTCCAAGTTTTGGCAATTATGAATAAAGCTGCTACAAACATCTGTGTATAGGTTTTTAAATAAATTCAGTTTTAAACAAAATAAGTAAAGACACTTGAGTAAAAATATTCAAAAATCATCTGGACATTTACAAGTTAGCATTTGTAAGGGAGAGGATACACTTGTAATACGTATATATATATTTATAATAGTCATTTGATTTTTAGTTTCTTTAATGAAATCTTCTACATACTAGATACTTTATTTGGTGCTGGAAACGCAAAGTTGAGAATTAGAGTTCTTGAATTTAAAGATCTCATAGAACAGTAGGAAAAAACAGAAACAAATAGTCCCAAAAGGGGCACCCGGGTGGTTCAGTCAGTTAAGCGTCTGCCTTCGGCTCAGGTAATGATCCTGGGGTCCTGGGATCGAGTCATGCATCGGGCTCCCGCTTGACAGGGAGCCTGCTTCTCCCTCTCCCTCTGCCTGCCACTCCCCCTGCTTGTGCTCTCTCTCTCTCTCTCTCTCAAATAAATAAATAAAATCTTAAAAAAATAATCCCAATATAATATGGGGAGTACCACAATAAGTATTTTAGAGTTGTGATCAATTCCATATGGTGGAGGCAGAGAAGACTTCACAAAACTGATGGCATTTGAATTGAACCTGAAGGAAGAGCAGGAGCTCACAGGCAGATGATTTGAGGATAGTTATATATAGAACCAGAGTTTAGAAGAAAATAGTAGGCTGATGTTGGGGAAATAGTGTGAAATTAAGCTAGAAAGATGGGTTGATCAGATGGGGAAGGGTCTTTTAGGCCCTGCTAATGAATTTGAACTTTTTCTTATATTAGTGATAATCACTGAATAATTCAAAGCACAGTGTGATGTGAATGAAGATTTTAGAAATATAATCCCATTGTCTGGAAGGTAGGATAAAAGAGATGAAGATGACGTCACAGGAGACTAGGAGTGCTAAAGGGCTAGTTCACATCAAAATGATTCTGATCTGTGATTATGGAAGTAGAGGTGAAACAGGAGATTCCACACATATTTAAGAAGTGGGATTCATAGGACAGTTACATTCAATAATACTGTTTATCTTATCCTTAAGTTTCCCTTTAAAAGTACACTAGGATCTTTTTGATTACTGAAAATAATAGTATACGGAGAAGGTGTAAATAGAAATGCCACTGATGTTGTATCACAATGAAAACTGTTTGGATTAATTTTCTATATTCCCTGACCAGAGTCCTTAAAAACACACTGTTTTTATAAATTATTATTTTCCTTTTTAATATATATTTTATCAGGCTAGCTTTTGAACTTCTGTTTTATAGATTTTAGATGTCAAGATACAGGGAGGCATGAGGCATGAGTTTCCACTGAGGAAATTAGAGAATTAAAAGCATTAAAGGGCCATTGAATACATTTTGTAACACAAAGTCTTAATGATTGACATGTCATATGGACTGAAAGGTTGGCATAGATCTAGAATAAGAGTAAGTAAAACTCTCAGACACTTCTTTGATGATCAATATTGGCATATTCTGTTTGGTGTACAAGGATGAACAGCAGAGGAAAACAGTTAAATCTATGAGCACTAAATTAATTCATTAATTGTCTTTAATTAGCAATTTGGTTTTTCCACGTGAGTAACTTTGTTGGGAAGTTATTGCCTTTTGTAACTGTGGGTTAACAATTAGCTAATAAGATTTTCCAAGAATAAATTGAGACATTGAGATAGCAGATGTCATTATGATTAGAAATTAACATAACAACCAGGTGATTTACTGTGGTATCACCAACAAATTGAAATCAGGAGGAAATCAACTGAGAGAACATTGTGGGTGCTGTTGTTTCCATTGTGGTTGTTATGTGTTGCCAGTATCACTGTGTGCATGTGTACATGTCTATGTGTCAATATGCTTTTTTTTTCTCATTAAACTCCAGGTATGACAGTGATAGCTGGTGCCCGCCGTTGCCGGTACAAACATACTTACACCAGGGTATGGAAGATGAACTGGAAGAAGATGATGATCGTGTCCCAACACCTCCTGTCCGAGGCGTGGCTTCTTCTCCTGCTATTTCCTTTGGACAGCAGTCTACTGCAACTCTTACACCCTCCCCACGGGAAGAGATGCAGCCCATGCTGCAAGCTCACCTGGACGAGTTGACAAGAGCCTATCAGTTTGATATAGCCAAGCAAACATGGTAAATATTCTTGTTAGGTCAGGGGACCCAGGCCTTCAGCACAGGGATAGAAAAAATGTTCTTTTACGATAGGGTCACAAGAAGTTCTCATAGAACAATACAGCTGGGATTAGAAGTACTTTTGTGCAACTCATTAATCATCTGGATAAAGAAATTGGCTAAGGAAACGTTAAATAATTTGATCAAAGTCACATAACTGGTTAAAGAGTAAAGCGGAGCAAGAATTCAGATCTGCTGAATTTCAGGCTAAACTGCTTTTGGCTACACCAGAATCTTATCTAATTTACAGGTTAGCTTCAATTAGCTTATCCTTGAACTCACTTCCAATGCCATAGTAAAAGACTCCTTTTAGATTCTTCAAAGTGCCTGTGATTAATTCTGTATGTGGTCGTGAATATGTAAATGTAAGCTTCTGCAAATCACATATGGTCAGTGTCAGTTATTAAAAGATCCTTGGGCTGAATTAAATGAGACAGAAAAAAACAGCAATATTAGTAGATGCATTAAAAAGTAAAACCTAGAATAAATTACAAATCCCAAATTCCTTTTTTTTTTAATCAATCCACACCCTTTCCTAAGGTAGAGATGGCAATCTACTTAGGTATGCTGTGCAAGCATGGAAAGAATACACGTGGGATGAGCTCTCACAATTTTGTACAAGTTCTCTAATGTGCTCTCTTGTCTCCCAAATAATGACGTGTAAGTCTGACTCTTGAAATCTCAATGGCATACCTCTGATTATCTTCTATTGATTTCCATGATGTAATTGAAATTAAATTTTTTATAAAATAGAATTTGTTTTTCTTTTTGATAGTTTTAGATACTAGTTTTAGATACTAGGATAGTTTTAGATGAATCTCATTCTCAGTGTTAATGAACTCTTTCTTTTAAAAATACAGCAAAATATACAGAGATACTAAAACCAGGCCAATCATATAAAGCTTATTACAAACATAAGGATATTTTCTTAGAACCAGAGGTTTCTGAACATTTTTTTTTTTCTCAGTCATCCGATGTTTTCTCAAAGGCCTCAATCTACTGTTAAAACAGTATTCTTTTGCATCAGGCTGCTTCATAAAATAACACTATTTAAGTTGAAGCCCACTGCTTTAAGAGCCAAAGGATTTCTTTCAGATTACCTGATGCAACCAGGTACTTTAGTCATTTAAGGCACAGATTCTAGCTCAGGTGTTCTCAAATTTGCCTGCATTTTGGAATCACCAGGATAACTTTAAAATATAGTGCTATCTAAGCACCACCCCTGATATTCCAGATCGCTACTTACCAGCTGTATGACAGTGAGCAACTTGCTTAACCTTTGTGTGCTTCCACCCCCATTTGTAAAATGATGATGCTCATACCAATTAGCTCATATACAATGTGAGAGCACAGTCTCCAAGACCACCCTCAGTTCCAAGAATTCACTAGAAGGAGCCATAGAACTCATTGAATACCAGGACACTGAAAGTTTTGGTTTATTATATTGAAAAGATACAGATTAAAATCTGCCAAGAGAAAAGATGCAAAGGACAGAGTCCAGGAAAGCTCCAAAGCTAGAACTTCCAGTTGTCTTCTCCCAGTGGATTTGTGGAAAGCATTACTTTCCCAGCAACAACATATGACAATATGCATGGAGTATTGCCAATCAGGGAAGCTCATATGAACCTTGAGTTTCATGGTCTTTCTTGCAGCTTTGTCACATAGACATGGTTGGCTATCTGCATGGCTGACCTCAGTCTCTAGCCCCTCCAGAAGACTAGCTGATACCATGTGACTGAAAGCCCCTACCATAAATCACATTGTTAGACTTTCTGGAGAAGCCTAAGGTCTCCAGGTGAACAAAGACACTTCTATCAGGACATTCTAAAACTTAGAGAGAAATTACCTCCCTGGAGCACAAAGCAAAAGCTTAAGTTCTCTTTGGGCAAGGTCAAATTCTTTATTACTCATCACAGTTTTTGTGAGAATTAAGTGAGTTCTGCCTGGCTCAGTTGATAGAGCATGCAACTCTTGATCTCAGGGTTGTAACTTCCAGCCCCATGCTGGGTGTAGAGATTATTTAAAAATAAAATCTTAAAAAAAAAAAAAGAGTTAAATGAGCTTGCTCTTACACAGGACCTAGTCCAGTATCTAGCTGTATTATAGCTGTTATTATTCAGAATGGCTCGGGTTTTCACCTGAATTGTTCATTGCTGTCTTTCCACTCTTAGAAGGGCACTACCCTTCGTGAGTGTTGCATAAAGATTTGCTAAATGGGTGAACAAACTAGTTCTCCACCTGCTCCAGGTACCCATAGGGCAAACCCTGTTTCTTTCGCTGAGTATGTTTCTGTTCAGTCCAACAATCCTCCAGGGTGTCATTAGCGACGCCCTTTGTAAAAGTTATGAGCCTGTCTGTGCTCGCACAGAATCTCAACCTTCAGGAACAGAATGCCCTCCTCATCTGAGCTGCACATCAATATCACGGGAGGAGCATTTTAAAAATGTTAATTCCCAGGCCCCACCTCCAGGGAGTCTGTTCATATTGACCCATGCAGTGCATAGCACTGTGCTCATCACTACAAGACATTTATAGATATTTTGCACCCTCTTCCTATTTCAGTTTATCTCCTACTCCTGCTGAACTCAAGGATTACATGTTACGCCTTAATGTATATTTGTTCCAATCAAGAGGTGTCAGCAATGATGTAGGACTGGAATGTTGGTTTCTTTGGTCCTTTCCAGGACAAAAGTGCACACCATTAAAGGAGAATGAATCATGTATATAAATATCACCTTATATTCTCTTGCTCATGACTGGACTCAGTCCATCCTCGATTCATAAACAGAATTTGAGGCAACATTTACAAGATGTCATCATCAACACTCAAGATTTTCTGTACTGGTAGTTTAGAAACTTCCTGATTTTGCATGAATGAGCTATGATGACTGTCAGATAAAGACATGGGGCCTCAGATTCCTGATCTGTTAAATTAAAAATGTGGCTCCTAGAACTAACATCTTAGGGTTTTTGTTTTGTTTTGTTTTTTTTAACATTGAAAGATTTAGAATGTTGTTAACATTGGAATTGGTTGCCAGTTCAAGAATGCAGTTGGGAGAGGAATGTTAAACAAATTCTGGAAGAATGAAATATTTTCTCCAAAAATGCAAGTGTTAAAAATCATCTTGTATCTTTAATTCAAAAACTTAGGGTAAAAATGCATAACACTTGACTTACATGTGCCTTAAGTAGCCTACATCTTTTAAATACTTAGTATTGAGATTTTTTTAAAAAAAATTATTAAGATATGTGGTGTATTCACTCCTTAATGACAGTAACAAATAACAGTGACTTTCCTTTATATCATGGCATTTATAATTTAGAAGAAACTCTTAAGTAGTCACAAAATAAATCAACTGAACCCCAGTGTCCAGCTCTCCATTTTGCTAGCCATGCCATTTGAAACAAGTCACTTAAGTTGGAACTTTAATAGATTCTAAGACAAAGGTGATAATACAAGTTCTGTCTACTTCACAAGGTCGAGATTGAAGTTACACATGCATTGCAACGGGTGTGTTTAGCACACCTCATGTTCCAAACACAGAGAGTGCTAAAATGAATCTTTTCTATATTTGAGATGTTTTAGACTTTGGGGGCTAAAACAGAGGTACAAATAAGTAGCTAGAACATAAAGGAACCATTCCTACTTTAAACTGGGTTAAAGTTGAAACAACCACCCAGCCTGATTCATGGGGGATGTGTTGGAAGAAAACCTTGTAGGGCAGGCAATGTGCTCCTGGCTGGGAGAAGGGTTATTGGTATTAACACTTCATGTGACATTTTTTTCTTCATAAGGGCCAGCAGGTCACATGGACCACACAGGCTGAGTAGAATTTTGGCGTTAAACTGTAAACAAAATTATTATATTCTTTTGGGACCAAAAAAAAACTTGCTTTAAGGAGTTATTTGTGGCAAATATTCATATTCTCCTTTGGATGATTTATTTACACAAAAATGCTGGGTCTGTATTTTTTCTCCGTATATTATCCCATAAATACCAATGGAAGAGTGTAATAGTCTACACCGTTGTTGTTTTGACTAGTCATGTATACATAGCCCATTGTCTCTGCTGAAACGTAAGAAAGCACCGTAAGCTCCAAAATTAGTTAATAGAAAGCAAGAAGATAAAATGAGTCATCATCACATGCTGTTTAATTCTAATCTTGTAGGATGTTAATGAATTCCCTTTTTCCCCCATTTGAATTCTAGGCACATTCAAAGCAATAATCAACCTCCACAGCCCCCGGTTCCACCATTAGGTTACATGTCCGGAGCCTTGATTTCCGATTTGGAAACAGATGTTCCAGATGATGATGCTGATGATGAGGAGGAAGCTTTAGAAATCCCCCGGCCCCTGAGAGCACTAGAGCAGACCCCCGGATCCAGTATGGACAATCTAGACAGCTCTGTGACAGGTAACGGAACTGATTTAATAGGAATAACTGACCTATTTATAACATTAAAATGCATCAAAAATCAAATACTTTCTTATGTAAGATTTATTCCACTCTAGCTATTTCTATAACATTTTAAATATGTTAATATTAAACACAAAATTCTAAAAGGATTTGGAAATACTTTTGCTGCAAAAATGATAAGAAAATTCATGAATTTTAAAAAGCTTTAAAGACATGAAAGAAAACTCAATTATATCCAGCTTTCATGAAAAGTTCACTCTACTGGGGAACCAAGTCTATTACATAAAAAACCTTGACTTTTAGAAATGATATATTTTGTATATCAGGAGCAACATACAAAGTGAATGCAATCTTAAAACGCTTCTCGATATTTCACTCTGTAAAATCATTCACCGATGAAAATAAGCAAGTCTTCAGAATAAGCCTCTCTAAGGTTGCACAAGGTATTATTTTTGGAGTGGAAAAAATGTATAGCGAGATAAGGCATACATTTACGCACTTCATATCATTGGATTCAATAATTTCTCGTCTCCCAAGAAATATAGTTATTTTTGCTATTTACTCCTTCGGCGTCCTCTGCTTTGCTCACCATGTGAAAGGTTGCAATTGCTACTCTCCTAGGAGGATCCCAGGACTGCAACCTATTGCCAGGGATTTAAGTTTATCCCATTTTGTTGAAAAATCTTGAATCCTAATGTGTACACAGTGAATATGGAGAAACATAAAAATTTCATCTTTCTATTCCAGTAGGTATCCCTTCTTTGACACACACACACAAATGTCTCCTATAGGACAATAAAGACATAATTACCACAAAGGTAGATCTTGCCTTTGCCGGGCATTGGGTCTTCTCAGAAAATCACCCATTTCTGTATTTATCTTGATGATACCGTCTTCATCCTTGGAGGCAATTACAGTCCCGTTTAATTCATTTGTACTCCAGCGCTCCCAGCGTAACACAGATTTTGCACTACGCATTAGAGTTCAGCCAACACTGATGGAAACTTCTTTATGGCAGTGATGGAGAAGGATAAGGACCTATATGTTTCCTCTGTATGCCTTCCTGAATAACACAATGTGTGACGCATGAGTCCACTTTTTTTATTTTGTTTTGTTTTGTTTTGTGTCTTACCTGGGGGCAGGCATGTCTGCTTGCCAGGCTAATTAAGATTTAAGAACTGCAAATATACTGCTGTGATTTGAAATACAGATCCAACCGAAGGTGGCAGAGCAAAAGTTTAAATCTTTGAATGCAGAGAGCTAACTTTATTAGTACACTATTATGTTAAGCCCCTTTGCCTGAATTTGAAGCATAATCTCCTTCAAGGTAAAATTCTGCATATTTTTGCATATCTCACTAACGATACTGAACTCTTTTCCATTAGGAATGCAATAAGAATTGCAATAATAACATAAAAAAGGGCAGCTATAGCCTATGTAGTTCTTTTATTAAATATTATAATGTCAGAGATGATAAATATATCTCTAAATCAGGAGACTGCCATTTCGTACTTTTCCATGCTCACCTGTTAGAAACATGTTAGGGTATTTAATATGAATGTGGTTAAAATCAATCTGCCTTTCTCCTTGTAGTGAGTATACTCTTCATTCCAAATGAAGCTTTTATTGCTAAGAAAACAGTCTGTTTTCCTCCTTGAATTCACTGCTTAATTACCGCTGTGTATAAAAACCTCAGGGTGTTTAGGTATGTATTACGTGACGGATTTACCCTATGAATAATACACGTCCTCAGTGTAGGAAGCTGTACTCTACGAAGTAGCCGAAGAGGAAACTTTACTTTCTTCTTCTCTTTTTTTTTTTTTTTTTGGCTCTGTGATATCTTTGTGGGGAAGCTATGCTCAAAGATTTAATTTGTCTTCTAGTAGATAAGTATAATGTAAGTAAATACGAATTAATATAAGAGTAAATATGTTTTCTCAAAAAAGTGTGTGTGTGTAGGAAGTGTGAGTGACCGTATAGATGTGTGTGAGAGTATAGGTAGGGTTTGTGGTTATATCTGCATGTGAGTGGATGCGGGCGTGTGTGTGTGTATGTGAGTGGGTGGGTGTGCGTGTGAGTGTGTGTGGGTGTGAGAGAGGATAGGTAGGGTTTGTGGTTATATCTGCATGTGAGTGGATGTGGGTGTGTGTGTGTGTGAGAGAGAGTATAGGTAGGGTTTGTGGTTATATCTGCATGTGAGTGGATGCAGGTGTGTGTGTGTGTATGTGAGTGGGTGGGTGTGCGTGTGAGTGTGTGTGGGTGTGAGAGAGTATAGGTAGGGTTTGTGGTTATATCTGCATGTGAGTGGATGCGGGTGTGTGTGTGTGGGTGTGTGAGAGTGTGTGTGTCTGTGAGAGAGAGAGAGAGTATAGGTAGGGTTTGTGTTTATATCTGCATGTGAGTGGATGCGGGGGTGTGTGGGTGTGTGTGTGTGTGTGTGAGTGAATGCAGGTGTGTGTGGGGGGGTGTGTGCATGTGAGTGGATGCAGGGGTGTGTGTGGGTGTGAGTGGATGTGGGTGTGTGTGTGTGGGTGGGTGTGTGAGTGTAAATAGGATTGTAAGTGTATTAGAGAGTGTGTGTGTGTGTGTGTACGTGCAGGCATGTATACGTAAGTGGAGATGGCCCTGAGGTGAATATATGTACAAACCAAATGTTACGGAAATCAACCTACTGATGTATATTATTCTAACGTGTTTATGTTTTCTTCAGACACTTAAAAGCTAGTTTAATGGTGCTAAATGAGGTGGGCAATAAAACAGACACTGTTTCCATTGGCTTTTTATGTTTTTAAGATGGTAAGTGCCCACAGAGAGGATTCTGATCTTACTGTATATTACTTGGGGTTCTAAATTCATGTGTGGTATGAGGAAATCAGGCATTACTTTCACCTAAATCACCTGGTAGAGATTTTCATTTTCATGAAACTAATAACCATTTTTATTAAATGGAACAAACAGTTCTATTCCATTCCCTGAAACTCTAAAGCCAACCAGAATGATAGCCCAGTGATAACACAGAGATGGGTTAATAAGCCTGTGTGTACAATTATTCAGGATTTTACTTGGATATATCACATTCCGACCCTTAATCGCATTAAGTAATATCAGCAGCTAATAGGGTGCAGAACCCATCTTTATAAAGAAATAATTATATTAATTCCCAATATTTTCATAACAACGAAGTAATTTGTGATAGACATCTTCAATTTTGAAATAATGGTTCATGAGTGGAAAAGCAAGAAGAGAGGGAAATATCTGTAGTTCCATATCCCATAATCTCATGTCTTAGCCTGGTTGGTCTGCTATAACAAAAGGCAGTAGACTGGGTGGCTTAAACAGCAAGCATTTATTTCTCACAGTTCTGGAGGCTGGAAAGTCCAAGATCAAGGTGCCTGAGATCTGGTTCCTGGTGAGTTTCTAGCTAGCAGGCAGCAGTCTTTGTGCTGTGTTCTCACATGGCAGAGAGAGACAGCAAGCTCTCTGGTCTCTCTCTCTCTCTTTTTTTAAAGATTTTATTTATTTATTTGACAGAGAGAGAGTGAGAAAGCCAAAGAGCACAAGGAGGGGGATCAGCAGAGGGAAAGGGAGACGCAGGCTGCCCAATGAGCAGAGAGCCCCACGTGGGGCTCGATTCCAGAACCCTGGGATCATGACCTGAGCCACAGGCAGATGCTTAACGGACTGAGCCACCCAGGTGCCCCTAGTCTCTTTTTATAAGGTCACTGATCCCATCGTAATGAACCCACATTCATGGCCTCATCTAAACCTAATTATCTCCCAAACACCCCACCTCCTATACATTAGGGATTAGGGCTTCAATACATGGATTTTAGGGAGAAATCAACATTTGGTTTCCAAAACTCAGTAATATGGAAAATGTATTTGCAAACCTTCTATATTATATTTATTCCCACAACAAACATTTATCAGATGTCTATTCCTTCCAATCTGTTGACTAGGAATTTAGATATAATAATAATAATGATAATGATAATAATAATGTTATCAGCAACAACAACAACAAGAATATTAGCTTGCACATATATAGACAGCCCTTAGTAGGTACAAGACACTCTCCTAAGCAGTGGCCTGTTTTTTTGCTGTGGCTCTGTGAGCTAAGAATGTTTCTTACATTTTTAAAGGATTCTAAGAAAACATGAAACAAAAACAAAAAAGAGACAGCAAAGTCTCAAATATAGGGTATCTGGCACTTTAAAGAAAAGTTTGCAGATCCTTGTCCTAAAGTTTTAAAATATATTAATTCACTTAACTGTCACAACCCTATTTTTTAAAAGATTTTATTTATCTATTCGACAGAGAGAGAGAGCGAGAGAGGAAACGCAAGCAGGGGGAGTGGGAGAGGGCGAAGCAGTCTTCCCGCTGAGCAGGGAGCCCGATGCGGGACTCGATTCCAGGACCCTGGGATCATGACCTGAGCCGAAGGCCTAACGCTTAATGACTGAGCCACACAGGTGTCCCTGTCACAACCCTATTTTTATTCTCATTTTATAGATAAGGAAATTGGGCCATAGAGGGGTTCAAAGTATTTTTAAGGTTACCTACCTGATAAGTGGCAGAAGAATTTTCAAAATTTGTTCTCACTCTTAAGATAAATTACCATGATCCCTTCTCTGGATATGCCCAACTTTTTTTTTTAATCTCTGAATTTAACATATTTAAGAAGAAAATGATTTCCTGGTCTATTACTTAACATATGGATCTCTGTCTCTGTCTCTATCTCTCTGTGTCTCTTCCTTTTTGTGTGTATGTGTGTGTGTGCACATATGAATAAATAAATATATATATGTATATGTACATATATATATACACACATACAAATACAAAATATAATTTTATCTCTGGAAACATTAGTCCTTACCCCCATACATTTAATCAAGATTAAAAATATCTTAACTTTTAGATGTAACTTTTATTATTTATTTTCTTATATTTAGTTCTATATTCAGTTATAGTAACTCATGCTAACAAAAATCAAC